GACAACAACAGGGAAGACCAGGGGAGGAGGAAGAGACACGGGGTGGCCATGGCTCGGGCATCAGTCATGTGTGCACAACATCGCTGAGCAGGGGGAGCGGGCAAACCCTGTGAAGGTTTGCCCCGCTCCTCTGAGTCGCGAGAAAAAAAAAGAGGCAAACAACACTCGCTTACGAACCTCTCGTGCTTGTAGAAATGGGCCAGGCGGGCGATGGCATCAACCATGTTGGTCGACTCATCCATGACAATGACGGCAGCGGTACCGAGACCGGAGCCAACGTCACGCAGGGCGTCGTAGTCCATGCTGCATACCGGTGACGGGGAGGTGGAGGGGAGGCCGCAGGAGAGGGGACCGAGGAGAAAGGTTAACATCCCGCCCGGCCAGGAAGATGAAGGCGTCAAAAAGAAAAAAGGGAGAATCGAGGAGCACAGCAGGAAGAGCCCCAACAGAAGATGGAGGGGAAGCAGCAGGGAAAGCGAGAGAGGGGGCATCACGCACAGGACGGTGTCGCAGATGTCGCGGGTCATGACCGGGACAGAGGAACCACCGGGGATGACACCCTTGAGGTTGTCCCAGCCGCCGATGATGCCACCGCAGTGGCGCTCGAGCAGGTCGCGCAGGGGGATGGACATGGACTCCTCGACGGTCATCGGCTGGTTCACATGGCCGGAGATGCAGAAGAGCTTGGTGCCGGCGTTCTTGTCACGACCGAAGGAGGCGAACCAGGAGCCACCACGGCGGCAAATGGTCGGGGCCACGGCCACGGTCTCGACATTGGCCACGGTGGTCGGGCAGCCGAAGAGACCGACATCAGCCGGGAATGGGGGCTTCAGACGCGGCTTGCCGGCCTTCCCCTCGATACTCTCGATGAGGGCGGTCTCCTCGCCGCAAATGTAGGCACCCATACCACGATGGATGTAGATGTCGAAGTCGTAGCCGGACCCGCAGGCGTTCTTGCCCAGGAAGCCGGCCTTGTAGGCCTCATTGATGGCGGTCTGCAGGTTGGAGGTCTCGTTGTAGAACTCACCGCGAATGTAAATGTACGCGGCGCAGGCACCCATGGCACGACCGGCCACCAGGCACCCCTCGACCAGCTTGTGCGGGTCGTGGCGGATAATCTCGCGATCCTTGCAGGTACCGGGCTCACCCTCATCGGCGTTGACAACCAGATACTTGGGCCGGCCGTCATTCCAGTCGCCCTTCATGAAGGACCACTTGAGACCGGTGGGGAAACCGGCACCACCACGACCGCGGAGGCCGGACGCCTTGATCTCGTCGATGATCCAGGTGGAGCCCTTCTGGAGGATCTCCTTGGTCTTGAACCAGTCACCCTGAAGGCGGGCCGAGAAAGGGGGATGGAGCAGCGAGGGGAAGAGAGAGAGATGGAGGAGAAGGAAAGAAGGAGAGGCGGTGTCAATATGTGCGGACATATGCGGAGGGTGGTGAGGGAGTAGGAGGAGGGGGGGGGCACGCACGCGCGCCATGGCGCCCTTGAGGGCCCAATCGTGGCGACCATAAAGGTTGGTGAAGATACGGTCGTGATCGTGCAGCGGCTGGGGGGCGTTCAGGGTGCTGTAGAGGGAGGCCAGCTCGGCAGCGCGGCTGGGAACCGAAGCGGCGGTACCGGAGACGCTGCCCAGCGAGGAGGCCAGGGCGGCGACGGGGGTGGCAGTAGCAGCCCCGGCGGTGACCGCAAGGGTCTTGGAGGCGACGAAGCGTGCCGCTGCGGGAAGAGAACAAGGGACACACAGGGAGAGGGCCAGAGATGGGGGGTGGAACACAGGTCAGCATCCGAGCCAGGAGATGAATGAAAGGGAAGGGAGGAGGAAACGGACCAGCGGCACGGGTCAGAGAAGAAGCCATGATAGACACAATCCCTTCTCAAGGACGTAAGACTGCCAGGGGAGAGGGGAGAGAGCGCGAGAGAGAGCGCGAGAGAGAGAGAGAGAAGGGGGTCAGAGGAGGCACTCAAAAGTCGGGGAGGGGGCTGGGATTGGGGGGGGGGATGAAGAGAGGTGTCAAACGGCCAGGAAAGTGGTCGCTCGGAGCGCGAGGAGCATCCGAATGGCCACGATATGGCACATCAGACCTACACGCTGTCCGGAGACATCGGGGGAGGAGGGAGGAGGGAGAGCTGCCTCGTGTCGAATGTCCCAAGAGAATGGGGGGGGGAGAGACATGACGCGAAGGCAGGAGGAGGGAGGCCGCGGTGTGGAGCCCATTCACAACGGGCGTCGCGCCAGGTGCCCATGCCGCCACGAAGACAGGTTTCCTCCCACATGGCCCAACAAGGACAGCAACGAGCGGACCCGGAAGTGCACCCATGTCCGAGGGGCGGAGGGAAAGGCAGTCCGACACCGGACAGGCAGACGGGCGGGCGGGCGGGCGGGCGGGCAGAGGGAGGAAGGCGAGGGGAGGGGCGCGGGCGGGGGTGGGGGAGGGGGTGGGGGAGGGAGGAAGGGGCGGGCAGAGGGGGGGGGGAGGTGGGGCCAGGGGCCG